ATGTAATTTCCTAATTTTTGTGTGTGTTTGTGGTAGAAGTCTGAGGTCAGAAGTGAAGTTACATCAGGGTTTCTCTCGTGATTCCAACTTCTTGCCCAAGTGTTTATAAACTTTGGGTCAAATCTCAGTTCATGTTTAATAATTTTTCTTCCTTTCCTGGTGGCAGTGAGTAGCTCATGAGATGTGAAAAGTTGACTTAATTCTGCTGTCATATATTGTAGAGTGACACCCACAGCACTTCACATCTTGATTGACTTGTTTTAAACCTTCTGAAGCAGAGTTTTCAAGGTATTTCTCTGTTGATTCACTGCTGGATTATGTTTCCAAACTGTGATTGAGAGTAATGGGATCAAAACTCTACTTGTTACATTTGGAAAGACAGGGATGCTCCACCCAGGCTAGGATGGGTTATTTTTTGCCTTTTGTGCAAGTTATTTGAACAAAACAAATGTGAGATGTTATCAGATAGTGTTTGAAGCTCGTTGGTTTTCAATCTCAGTTGGTGTCAGCACAGGCCTTAATGAAACTGTAGCCTTTGAGGTAAAATTTATATCTTGGGAAGCATCACTTTCTGCAGAGCTCTAAATCCTCTTGAATTGTTGGTTCTGTAGGGCAGAGCTGTGCTTTTCCATCAGGGGAACAATCTTCAGGCACAACAACAGTGTGATAGAAGTAATAAATAAACCAATAAATCAGTTCTCATGGGCTCTCACCTCTCAGCTGGAGGTCAGGAAGAAAAGTCACTGGTGGGGGGAGCAGCCAGGAGAAGCTGCAGTGCCTGATGTCCCCAAGGAGGAGAACAGCTCTAAATCATATTTGGCATTTAATCTAAGGAGTCCATTGCCTGTCCAGCTGGGATGGGGCAGGCAGAGAAATGACTCTGACCTGAGCCTGGCGGGGCTCTCACACCATCAGCACCTGAGGAAGGAATTTGTCACCATCTTGTGTCCTGCCATGAACTGGGGTGTCACATGGCACCAAAGCCACAACAATTGTGTTTCTCCTCTGCTGTGGCACTGGGGGTGTGCCAAAGAACCTGAGTAATGGGAACACTCTTGTAGGGGTCCCACAATGTTTTAAGAGTTCTGTTCTTGTTTGACTTGAGGAGCTCTTTCCACAACCCCCCTTTTTGTGATTCTGCCTCTCTTATGCAAACAGAAATGTGAAAATATGTTGGATTTGTGGATGTGAGACTCCCTCAAAGCCATAGGGGAGGTTCTCATCTAGTGAAAGGTGTATTTAAAATTTACAGTATTATAAACAGGCAGTAACTGTAAAGTTTAGGGACGTCAAGCTGAATATTCATCTATTTAATACAAAGTTTACATTTACTTGAGATGAAGTTTACTTAATACAAATCACCCTACAGATGTCCTGTAGGTTTTTCTGGCCTGTGACACAGCTCGGTGTGAACAGGCAAGACTTGATGCTTGCATAAGGCACCAGAGGGTTTCAATTCCTGATAGGACACAGAAATACCATAAATAAGGGGAGCAGCTGGCTGGATTTGAGAAGGAGGAAAAGGACATGAGATGTTTTCTCGACACAATTGTGTCATGTACAAATATATAAGTTCTAACTCAATTAATCAACTTGACCTACCAGAGAACTTCCAAAAGGGTGGGTGTGAAAGTGGGCAGGGCCTTTTGTGAAATGTCCTGTAAACATTTGTTCCAGTACATTTGGTTCTCAATTTACAATGAAGAAGGGTTCATTCATCTGCAGGGGAATTGCTTAATGGCTTCTGTACACCAGAACTTTTATTAATATAACAGTGTCACATTTCATTGCAAGGGCAGAGCTGCTGAGAGGTTGAGGAAGTGGCATTTTAAATAAAATTCTATTTCTATTCTAATGGCCAGAATTAAATTTTGTAGTGACTTCTCACTCATTTACATCTGCCCCAAATGTATATACCCAAATGCAGCTGTTATAGAGCAGTTCTTTAGCTGGTTTGGCCTTTAGTGTTTACAAGATCCATGTGTCGGTGTTTTGCGTGAGTGCTCCTGGGATTTGAGGTATTTTACTCTCCTGTGGAAAAGAATCCAGCTTGACATGTGTGGTGAATCAGACATATATATGTTGTGCTATTTATTTTATAAATTAAAATAATGTCAAATATACATAATGCACATGCATATAAAGATGTGTGAATGTGGTTATATCTAGAGATAATATTCCAGGCTTGTCTTGGGGTGAGGCCGGAGTTTTCCCTAGGCCAGCTGGGAGGAAAGCTCCTTCCCCAGCTGCTGCTCTGAGGTTTTACATGCCCAGAGGAAACATTGTGTGAAGGGGAGTGTGCTCAGAAGCTGCTTTTCTTCCTACTCTCCCTCCTTTCTGCCCCTACTCCTCTCCCTGTTTCATTGCTGCAAGTTCACAAAGTTGTTTTCCTTTCCATCCAGGCCACTGATGGGCAGGAAAATGCCACCAAACGTAATCCTTTAAGGACTAATATTACCTGCAGCATCTTCAGCCTTCCTTGCTCTCTGTCTCAGATGGCATTGAATTAAATAGTGGCTATTAAAAATTAATAAGGGTGCACGGATGGTTATCAAGTGCTGATAATTGTGTCAGAGAGAAAATCTTCAGTATCATTTCCAGTATTTCTGTGATGTTGTGACCAAGTTTGAATTTCCCTCAGCAGTAGAATAATCTGAATCTGGCAAAAGCTCAAAGAATTGACTGTTTTAAAGGCTAAATTTTGCATGTGGAGCTTTTCCAATTTGCAGTAAAAGTCCAGAACACCTTCACAGGATGAATAATGGCTCTGCATTTTGGCATCTCAGTGGGAAGGGTTTGTGAAGAGTTTATCATGGAAGTTTTATAGACATAGATTAAAGAAATGATGTGAGTTGATAGACTGGAGTGTGTTAAAGAGCTGGGTGCTGTGACATCCATGTTGATCCAGTGTGGGGGTACAGACCCTGCACATGAGCCTGATTCCCAGGATTATTTAAAATAGGATGTACCATCCTCTGCACTCACTCTCACCACTGCAGCCAGCACGTTTCAGAGCAGAAGTCTGGCAGGAATTGCCAGAAGCCTTAGAAGCTGTGTAGTGAATCCATTTGTACTCTCAAGTGCAGATAAAGATGTAAATACAGTCCCATTATTTTCAAGTCTTTAAATGAGGGTGCACTTTGATTGCTTTAACTGCTGGAGAAGGTCGTCTTGATCACATCACCCTTCCTTCCACTCCATCACCTCAGGGAATTAGACTGAACTTGCTGTGTGAATTTGTGTAGAATCTTTTTATTCAGCTGCAATGTGGTCAAACCCCAACATGTAGAAATCTTCAGGAAAACTGTATTGAGCCTTTTTCAAAATCATGACATTGATTAAAAATTTTGAGGTTTTTTTGGAGTTTTTTTGTTTTTGTTTTTGTTTTGGTTTCGGTTTTGTTGTTGTTGTTGATTTCTTGTTTCTGAGTTGCCAAATTGGTTTCCTCTGCTTTAAGTTAAGTGGGAAACCTCTCCCGTGGTGGATCTGGAGCTGTGAAGCCAGGTCTCCTCCTCTTGATGTGCAAAGGAAAATTGAAGCAGCAAATTTTTAGTCTTTCAACCCCCAAATTCTTTCAAACATCTATTGCAAAGGTGAGGGTCTCCTTTCTGCGGCTGACATTTCACCTCTGTCTTCTAAATCATGGTGTTTTCCTGCAGATTTTTTTCCAGCTCTCTGCAGCTTTCCCCAGGCAGGTGCATTTCTTCCCTCCTGAGGACAGGAGGACAGTGGGTGATGCTGGGAGTGGGAATGGCACACAGATCCCACAGTGAGCAGCATTTCCTGGGGCATTGTTACTTTCGGTTTTGAGGCTCATTTTCTCAGGGATGTGTTTTTTATTGGAGCAGAAATACGATCACGAAGCTGGGGATGAAATGATACAGGCTGTAATTCCTAACCCAGCTGTGCCATTAACTGCAGTGTTAATTACTTCATCCTTAACCCTCTTGGAGAGAACAAAGCAGAGTTAAATGATTTGGCCCAGTGTCAAGCAGCATGTTGGGGTTTCAGAACTTCACATCTTGGATCTGAAGCAAAGGAGTTTTATTAACTGGCTTTCACCAGGCATGTTTCAGTCAAGTGGTGCATAAATCAGTAGGGTTAGAAACCAGCCCTTCTTGCCTGTGCCTTTCCACTGCTGATTATCAAAATGCTTATCCTAAATACATAAGTGGTGATCTATTAAGGGAATAAAAGCCTGCCTGAATATGATGTTTAATGAAACTGGAATGGGTGATACCAGACTTTGAACAGGCCTTCGGTACTTCAAGTCTACGCCATAATCTCTGCAAAGGCACATTTATGCAAACAGAAAGTGAAAAAAAAATACATATCTGCAGAGTGCTGTCATGTAGAAGGACTGAGGAGCTTTTGTGAATTCTTTCTCAGTTTTCATTTTGAGCCTCTGATCTCTGTGTAGGCTTGGAATAACCTTCACAGGGTGTTTGGAAGATGGCTCCTTATCGGAGCAAAAGTTTTGCCTGGTCACATCAGGCTGATTTGAGGTGCTCACTCTTCAGGTAAAATCAGGAAGGGATGAGAGCTGATGGATCAGGCCTTGGGATGTGGAGTCAGACTAAGATTTGGAAGCTGTTTATCCCCATTTCAGGCAAAACCTCCTGAAAGGAGGAGGAATCAAATGTGTGTATTTCTCCGTACAAATGTGTGTTTCTCTTGCTGTTTGCCTGGGCAGTAGGAGCCATTTTTCTGAAGTGGACTGAAAATCACTCCTCTGCATTTTTCTCTGTTGTGAGACTTGCCAATTGTGCAGTGATTAAACAAAATTATCTACTGATTGCTTAGGAAGTGCAGATTTCTCTCCACCAAATTTACACTCTTGTCCTGCTTGTATAATGAGGAAGTGGGAGAAACTCAGGAGTCTGTGGGATTTCTGGATGTGTAAAATCATTTTATGTTGTCACATAACTGAACACTGTAACAAACTGGGTGTGAGATTACCTAGGAGTTGTCAGTGAATATCCAACTTCTGTCCTTTGCAGAATGATGAAGTCCTCTGTCCACGCAGAAGAAGATGACTTTGTCCCAGAGCTGCAGAGGAGCATCCATCCCAGGGAGAGGCCAGACTGGGAGGAGACGCTCAGCGCCATGGTAAACACCTGAGCTACATCTTCTCTTCCCATTATTTCCCCTTCTGAACACTCTGCTCCTCTGTTCCATTTATACTCCCTAAGTTTCAGCTTTTTAAGTGGATTGCACAATACTTTGAACAAGGCCAAAATGCTTCCCTTCCTCTGGCAGTTTGTCAAGGAGAGGGAAGGAGCTTTCACAATGCTTCTGCCCTATTAATACGTGCCCCAAAGCAGGTCTTGTAACCAATTAAAAGGTCCATAATGTCACAACAATTTTCAGTCTGCATTAACCTCTTTTTCAGCAAGACTTCTGAGCATGAAGGGAACTTCTTGTAAAAACATGCTCTTTGAAGCGTGCAGCATTGTGAAGGAATGAGATTTTAGCAAAATGCTGGCTAAGTCTACATGAATAAAACCTTAGCCCGAGAGCAAACCTGCCATCAGAGGGACCGGAGGTGCAGAAAAGCACGCACAAAGGTGCTGTTATCATCTCAGAGAAGGCACTCATGTGGGCAGTGGGCTACAGACAACTGGATTACCTTAATATAAATGGGGGTTTTTGAAGCTACAGTTTCTCTGGGCACTCTGTGCCAGGGCCTCACCACCCTCACAGGGAAGAATTCCTTCCCAGTATCCCATCCTACCCTGCCCTCAGCAGTGGGAAGCCATTCCCCCTTGTCCTGTCACCCTCTGCCTGTATAAAGTCTCTCACCCACCTATTTATGAGCCCCTTCAGGCCCTGCCAGGGGCTCTGAGCTCTCCCTGGAGCCTTCTCTTCTCCAGGTGAGCACTCCCAGCCTGTAAATTTTTGCACTTTTCACTTTGTAATTTTTTTCTTTCCTCGTGTGTGGCTGTTTTTGCCTTCTCTTCACCTTGGCCACAGTTGGGAGCAGTGTCTGTTCCCATCAGTGTTGCTCAGGCAGCAGCACCTGCTCCCAGCTCGGAGCTTCCCACACCCTGGAGTCTGGTGGGAGTCACTGTGTGACACCTCACTGCTGTCTGTGACCTCCAGGTGTGTCTCAGAGCTGTCAGGCTGTAATTCAGTGTGCTCACCTGTGACACAGGTTTCCTGGCATATCTCATTAGTGTTGTTTTTTTTCTCCTGGTTGATTTGCAGTGAAAGCAATGTTCACCTGCTTGAGGCTGTTGTGCTCATGAACATTGCTCAGTGTTTATTTTACCCTGCATCATGCTCCTCTCACTGCCCAATTAAATCACTTTTTGGAACGTGCCCTCATGCACAGCTCTGTGCCAGCAATGCCAAAACTGACTGGTCCAGTGGAGAAGAGATTTAGAGGATGATAAACAGGGAAATTCCCAGCTGGAATTGCTGCACAGTGACTTGGTGTGATGAAGGACAGTAAAGCTGCTGAACCTGTATTTAAAGTGGCTGGATTTGTGCTCACAGGATTGGTTTCACCTCAGGGTCCTCTTAATACAGTGTGAAGAGGAGGGAGAAAAACTGCTCTTGTTTGTGTTTACTGTGTTGAGTGAATCAAATTTCAACTTCCCTTACCTCCAGTCAGGGGCAATATTCAGATGTAAATATTTGCAGGACCTTGTTCAGCACTGACAGTGTTCTCTGTTTAACCAGCATATCTTCAATATTCTGCCTTTTCCCTGATCATTTGAAGCCTGAGGTTTCTTCCTTCACTCTGTTCCTTCACTTTACATTTTTAGCAGCCTCTGCTTCTGCCTTGTCCCGGAGATTGCTCTTTCCATGGTATGTGACTGTCTCAGAGTGCCACAGTACATCTAATTTTTGGTTAGTGGTCATTGAAGATGCAGATTTTAGGTTTTGTTGCTGCTTGAAGTCCCAGCCCCCAGGGAGTGAAGGATGCAGGGTTGGAGAAGTTGTTCCCTCCATTGGTTCCCCTGGCTGCTGTGGAGCCCTGACAGGCACCAGGCTTTGTCACCTCATATGAATTTCACCTTCTCCCAGGTGGGCAAAGGCTGAGACAAGGGACACTGGAGAGCTGGGGGAGTCCTGGCACTTGTCTCCTGAACTTTGCCTTGTTACATGTTTTTATTCAGAAAAGTCAATTTATGCATTCACAGGTACATGAACAAGTCATCCCTACTCTTCCTTCCCAGTTTTATCCATAATATTTTCCAAGGGCTTATTACTAATTTAGAAAAGTGCTTTGTTTCCAGAGCTTTTTCTTAATAAGAAATAAACTGAAAGTCTTTGTAAATGTGTGGAGGTTGAATGTCCTCCTATACTGTAAATATAAGGTGACAGAAACTCTTTATTTTTAATGTTTCTGTCATTGCCAGTTCATTCTTGGTACCTGAGTAGCTTCAGTCCTTTGTTTGATGCAACTTCTTTTGTCTTCTTTAGTTTATTATTTATACTTTCATCTGCTTTTTAACATTGCTTGTTTTGTGTTTGTGGTTCAGCAGAAGGTCAAGTGATTCTGTGTTGGAAACCTGTTTGTTTGGGGGGAATCCCAGAACTGTGAAAAAATTCAGGTTGGAAGAGACTTTAAAGCCCATCCAGTTCCACCCAGTGCCATGGGCAGGGACACCTTCCACTACCCCAGGCTGCTCCAAGCCCTGCCCAGCCTGGCCCTGGGCACTGCCAGGGATGCAGAGACATCTCTGCCTCAGTATTTCTGGTGCAATTCTGTGTTGTGGGTGAGGTCCAGGCTGAAGGAGAGGCAGCCCTGGCTGGACAGAGTTCCCAGGAGCTGGGTAATGAGGCAGCTGCCTGTAACTCCTCAAGCATTGCTATATTTTGTACTCCCCCCAACTCATGCTCTGTATTTTTAGAATTTGGATGTATTAGACACAATTTTTCTGTCTCAGCCCCTAATTCCCACTGTGCTGCACCTGCTGGGTAACCTTCACACATCCTGGGATTTCTGCCTCTGCTCCACTTCGGAAAATGCAGTTGATGATATTGACTTTCTTCATAGAACACTTCTGAGTTCTGGAGCTGCAAAGCCCTGTGTGAGCCAAGGAAAATTGCATTTTATGGATTTTCTAACATTTCTCCAAGACAGTAATGTTATTTTAAAGGAAAGGGGTATCTTTTCCTTGTCAGGCCCTGCTGAGTGCTCTGTTTCTGAGTTACAAGAAATGAAGTTGTGAAAGAGCCTTTATATAATATATCTCACATGAGCCTACAAAACAGCTGTCCCCAGCCTGCATTGACTTTAGCATAAATTGATATTTGTGCTTAATATTGCATTTACCACATGTTGCTGACCTCCTGAGTTCCTGCCTTCTCCTCTTCCTGAGTTCAGGGAGTTGCACTGTTTGAAAGCACTGAGCCCGTGGCTCTTCCCCCATCTGGCTGCTGTGCTTACAGACCCTCTGTTCCTGCCTTGTCTGAATTTTGTGGTGAAGCAGGATTAAAATGCTGAGATAAATACAGAAATCTTCATTTATGCACCCATTGCAAATGTGCTGACACAAAGAGGTGCCACGTGAGCTGCATTCCTCTGACACTGGAGATCAGGGGAATGCACTCAAAAAAGGACCTGGAGCTGCTGCAGCCAGTCCAGAGGAGGCCACGGAGCTGCTCCAGGGCTGCAGCCCGGAGCCAGGCTGGCAGAGCTGGGGGTGCTCACCTGGAGAGGAGAAGGCTCCAGGGAGAGCTCAGAGCCCCTGCCAGGGCCTGAAGGGGCTCCAGGAGAGCTGGAGAGGGACTGGGGACAAGGCATGGAGGGACAGGACACAGGGAATGGCTTCCACTGCCAGAGGGCAGGGTAGGATGGGATATTGGGCAGGAATTGTTCCCTGTGAGGGTGGGCAGGCCCAGGGTGCCCAGAGCAGCTGTGGCTGCCCCTGGATCCCTGGCAGTGCCCAAGGCCAGGCTGGATGGGGTTTGGAGTGACCTGGGCCAGTGGAAGGTGTCCCTGCCATGGCAGGATGGGAGGAGATGAGCTTTAAGATCCCTTCCAACTCATGTCTTTCTGTGATTGTCTGTGTGCTTCTGAAGAAGTCACTTTTCCTGCACTTCTCCAATTCCTTCAGCTTTGGAAATGTTCAGAATACGAGAATATGAGTCTCCAAGCCCATGGAAGGTTTATTGTCCCCCTGGTGCACCTCTGGCTGGGATCTCATGGGATCTGGGATTCTGCTGACCGTAGCAGGGCCAAGAGGTGACAGCAGGGGTCAGGTGTTACTTGTGTGGAATCAGGGTGCTACAAAAGGGGAATCTCTAAATTAAGGTGGAAGACTCTCTGAATTTGACCAGTGCCAAGAGGCAGCAGCTGCAGTTGGTACCCATCATTTTAGGCTTTTGCTGTTGGAATTTTCTTAGGAGAAATACAAGCTTATAAATGCTTTAGAAAGGCACAGGGTTAGAGCCTGTCCTATGAAGTCCCTGGAATAATCCTAGTTCTTAGGTCAGAGGGCTTCTGAGATCCGTAGTATTTTCAGCATTTGATGCCAGATAGGGAAGGTTCCATGGCTTGTGAAGGTAATAAAGGCTTTTTAATGAGACCTCAATATATCACTGTTAAATCTGGGACATGACTGAGGAGGAAACTATTTTTAAATGCAATTATGAATGTGTGCAGAGATTAGTGCATTGTAAGGGTTTAAAGAAAGATTTTTATGTCCTTAGTATTTGTTTCTCATTCTTTGTACATCACTTGGCCAGTGCTGCCCGAGGTCTTGAGTGGGGCTTCTGCAAGAATAGATGCCAAAAATAGAATACAAGGGGCTTCTTTTTTAATTAGTGTTGGTTCATTGGTTGGTTTTTAATTCACAGAACATCAGGCCTGTTTCTGCTGCAGACTAACCTCCAGGAGTTGTGGAAAAATCTGCATAAAAAGAGAATGTGGTAAATCTATTTGCTTGGCCTTGTAAGCTGTAGTGATTTCCAAACAGTGGTTTACTGAAATGATCTAATTTTAGCTTCTGAAATATGTAGATATAATACTTTTAAACATGCTAAAATTGATATTTTGGATTTTTTTCCCCGTGTCTGTTAATGCTTTGTATATGTGTGAACCAACACTGGAATTTTACAGCTGAGGATGTGGTTGAGAGCTCTGAAGTCACTGA